ATGTATAATATCTATATATATATATATATATATATATATATATATATATATATATATATCTATAAATAAAGTGAATTATATGTTAAATACAGCGTAAGTAATACAAAAATGTTCATTATGGCATCTATACAATTGAATGGCGTTTTATATCAGATGTACATGTTATTATAGTTACACGTATTTCTTTTCAGTCGTCGATTAATATTCACAAATTTTTGAATGCGATTTTCAATAACTCGTTTAAAATTGACATTTTAATATTTACTAAAAGCGCATAGCACAAATCTAGAAAACTTAACGTAAAAAGACTCCATTTCAATCCTTTTAACACTATACAAATGAATTTATCCTTCTTACAGAAGGATTAACATATTTCTCTACAAAAAAAAAGAAAGAAAAAGCTTCTTTTAATATTATAAGTCAATAATAAAGTTTGTATCACAATTCATTAAACAATTTTTTAAAACGTGTACAATCATGTTATCTATCTGAAACAAAATTGTAAAAAATAAAAGCAGATACACCATCTAGTCTATACGAAAGTTCATAAATACGTGTGCATAAATAAATAAATAAGTCTTGTTGAATACACAAAATATAGATTATAAGATAGATTAAGGCAGATATATAAATCTCCTTTTTAATGTGTAATAAAGTAGAAGAGAATCTCATCACAAAGAATCATGTGTGGAATTCCAAAATACAGGTATGATAGAAAAACTGTGTATTTGCATCAGTTAAAGAATCAGATTTAATAAAAAAAGTGCCCATCTATTAATAAAAAAAAAATCTGGATTGAATTACATATGCCAAACAGATTGAGGCGTAGTAGTAACTTGTGCTCAAGATAACAGTTTATAAAGAATTATTCAGTTAGTCAAAAGCAAACGCGAAAATGTAAGCTTTGTAAATTAGATATGTTTTGATATATTTGATAAGTTTGATATATTTCAAGTGAGAACAATTATCGTGTTCTCTCATTATTCACATCAAAGATATCCAGATTATTGCGATGGATTGACTTCTGTTTGATTGCGAAGTGTGAGTAAAAACGAAGAAACAAAATCACGATACATTACAAATCTAAGAATGTTGCGCTTGTGTTCACTTTGCCTGTGTATAAAACTATTTCACATAATAAGCGTAGAGTGAAAACTGTCTCGATTTTACTGCAGCGGTCTCTTGTGTAAACCCCAGCCATGAAAGCATTTCATGAATCTTCTGGATTCCTTACCTTTGGCAGTTAGAAATAGCTTACGGGGTTTCTCGGGCTGCTTCACGCGCAGATGTTGAATATATACCTGGAAAAAAAGTGAAATATTGTCCAGTTTTACATCATGACTGCTCGAAATTAATTTACTTTGCTATAAAATATTTGTGGCATTTTTCCACGAATCATGACAATTGAATTTGTATAATTCACCTGAGCCGATTTGTAGGCCAGTTTGATTTCGACTTCCGAACAACGAGTGCCTAGCCAGAGAAACACTTGTTCTCCATTATCGAGGATCATTATATCATCATCTGCCAAATCATCCTGCAAAAAATAGAATGTTATTCATCATTACTCTTTCATAAAAATCGAAAATCTTTTGAACATATTATATATATACAGGGTGTTCCAGGAGGAAAGGTCAATATTCTGGGAGGTGATCGTATCGGTCATTTTAAGCAAAAATGTTCATATGAATATATGTCCTATTCCCCACAGTTTCCGAGATAGAGCGACTTGAATGTACATCTCGTGTGTTCACTTTTCTTCTGTACACTTCAACCTTCATCCGTGAACCTGTACAGTGAAGTGTACAGAAAAAAAGTGAATACACGAGACGAACTGCTCGCTCAAATAATGGATGCTAGTGCCCGCATAAAGGAACGTCACGGTGTACTCAGACGAGCAACACGCCATGTTCACACAACAGTTGAAAAATGCATTGATGTAAACGGTGGAATTTTTGAAAAATTATAATCTGTAAAAAATGTATCACTTGAACAATAAATATTAGAAATAGTACGTAGTATTTCTTTCTTGTCAATAATTTTGCAACTGTACATTCAAGTCGCTCTATCTCGGAAACCGTGGGGAATAGGACATATATTCATATGAACATTTTTGCTTAAAATGACCGATACGATCACCTCCCAGAATATTGACCTTTCCTCCTGGAACACCCTATATATATATATATAAGATGCTTAATATCAATATCGTTATATTTATAAAAGTTTACTTGGCAAAAATCGGTGCATTTTTCGCTGATGGTAAAATACCCCTTCTCATTAGAACATCTAAATAATCTTGTATAATTCATATACTCTGCATCGGTGTCATATGGTTTCTTTCCTCCCAGTGCCACCCAAAAAAAATTGTCTGGTTCTTCGCCTTCGTTCAACACTTGCAGGCTTATCCAAGGCTGTAACATACATTTATATTTATTGTCGATCTAAAATAATATACAAAAATATATTTTGTATATAAAAGGGAAAAAGAGATATTCTTTTTGAAATATAGTAAAATATTTTGGTAAACATTTACTTATATTTCTCATCTCACACAAGTTCAAAGTTTTAAATCAGTTTTTCGGATCTAACTACAAGTAAAAGATTTATAACTCACATTATTGAACATTTCCTCTGCAATTTCTCCGATTAAACGAGCATCTTCGGGATCAGCTTTCGACCCAATCCACGCGTACACAATACCGGTTCCTTCATCGGAATTGTTGAATGGCACATTTAAAAGATAACTATAAATAAAAGAAAGGAGATATATACACACATAGATACATATATTATAAAGGCGGAATGTAATCGTGTGTCAGATGTCTTACCAAAATGCAGAATTTAATAATGTTGAATCTGCTGGTATTTGAATAAGCCGAGTACACAAGGCACTGCCGTTACTTCGCAGATGATAAAACTCCACTTTGTTACTACCCGCGGGTTTCGGCTGTTTACGTTTGCCTTGATGAATGATGAATTTCCGTTTGAAATAACTCATGAACTTTAGATTTTCTTGTTGTTGATGTGTTCTCACAACCTCCAAATTTTCGCCGAACAACGATTTAAATTTCTTTTGCAAACTGAGACAAATAGCAGTATAAGAGACAAGATTTATCTATATATATCTTATCTTGATAAATAAATATATCTATAATCTTTACCTAAATGTAAACGTTAGCCATCCCATATTTCCTGCATCTCTGCCTTGCCAAAAATACACTGTACACTGATAATCGTCTTCATATTGCTCTTCACCATCTTCGTTCTCCGTTATATCCAGTGGCTGTTTTAATCAAAAGCAAATGAGCATTTATCATAAATTCTTTACAGTTTTACTTCAATAAAGCGTGATATATCTACATACCATCCAATACCGACATAAGAAGACATAACAATCCGCACTGTAAAAATGTCCTAGCTCCTCCTCTGGCAGACGTACGAATTTTTTCCCTTCCAACACCAACGCTTCCATTCCCTCCAAATCGTCGTTCCACTCCGTCATGAGTTGATGCGCTTCGGCAGCCGACATCAGCGGTTGTCGCGGCATAAATAAAGCGGCCAAATCTGCCTGGAAATATTAGACAGAAAATATTAATAAAAGTAATAGAAATAAGAGATATTCAAGTAAATGCCAAATTATTATAAAATATACTTGGACGTACTTTTGTTTCCTGTTGCTTAGCCCATTTAGTGAGATCTGCCCCGGTTTTAGCGACTGACTCAGCTGTCCTAGTGAAATCAACAGCGATCACTTCGTCCCATCCAATAAATTTAGACTTAAAGATCTATATATATAAAACATATATGCATACAAAAAATATTAGTGAAAAGAAATTGCAAATTGATATTAAAGAAGTATGTATTTGTACCTGGGATTCAGTACCCTCTTGTAATCTTGTTACCATTGCATATTCCGGCCTTTCTATCATATTAAATAATTCTTGAGATAACTTTACAGCAGCGGCACGCACTAATCTCGTTGATTTTTTACCAAACCTATAATTATATGTGCAATTAATTAATCAACATATATGTTTTAAATTTAATTTAAGAGTAAATTCTTTATACTTACCAAACATATACATCCAAATAGCAATCTAATATATATACATTGCGATTATTTAGCAAGGTATTCGTTAATTTTCCATGAGGAACTTCGACTTGCGGTAATTCCAGATAACCCATACCGAGTTGAACTTGATACAATCTAGGTGTAAGAGGCACAAAATTTGGATCTATGTGTTCCTATTGTAAAAACAAGCGAAATTATGATATACAATAAAAAAAAAAAAAATTACATACATTATATTAGCAAATTAAATAAAACTTCAAATTTTTTCTTATATAATTGTAAATTTATTTTTATTGTGCCGTTAAGTTATTAAAAAAAGGAACTTACGATAATTTGCAAATCTTTCCGTTCATGTTCTTCTAAGCCTAAATGCAGCAGGAAATCTTCCGACTCGGTATTCATAACTTCTGTTATAATTTCAGATTTATTTTTCCGTTCATTCTTATTAATTTTCTCTGCCATCAGTCGCGCTTTGGATTTTAGCGTGCTTTTCGCTTTCTTTCCATACCACATGAATATTTTATTTCCCGTGTCAAGAACAAATACGTAACCAGGATCCAGAGATTCAATACAGACTGGAACTGGTTCTAAATGTATAGACGCTCCTGCCGCGTGCACTCTATATAGACGAGTAATTGCTGGCTGGAAAAAAACACGTAATCTTAAGATAATTTCAATTCTTTCTTCAAAAACTTCATGGTACATATATAAAAAAGAATTAAATCCTCACTGTATCTTCCACCGTATAAAAACCGGACGACGTTCGCCCGCCTTCGATGTATGTGATACCTGAATCGAACAGCATTAGAAATTCATCCGATTCGTCTCCCTGTTCCTCTCTGATCGTCCGACATTGTGCGCCCAAGTAGTTTCTCAAATTTACAGCATGGATCGCAGCACACGCTCTTTTATCCAACTGCGGGCACAAATTATGATTAAATTAATCGTGCGTGATTATCTGTGTGAAATAATTCTTAACATCCTCTTAACCTTTTTTTACTGTATCTGTTCGAAAATACCTACCGTTGCCTTTTCTCCAATCCAGAAATAGATTGCCCAGGTCAACGATCCACCCTCGTCTATCCCGGTTTTCAAGATGATGTAACAATCGCCTTCGTAAAACTTGCCGTGCGCCACTTCTTCGATCTCGTTTGGCAGAAAGTTTTCTATCTCCCAGACTGATAGCCCGGGTATTTGACCAGCATCTTCGTCGAAAAATTCAGAGTAGTCTAGTGGCGGTTTCTCTAAAGCCTCGTCCCATCGCTTGGGTCTAAAAAATTATTTATTTGACTCTGTATGATGCTAAGCGTAATAAAAATATGCTAAAAAGCTTTGCTATAATACGTATAAAATTTACAGAATCTACTTACTTTAGGGATTCTGCTTTCGATTCCTCACATTCTTTATCTTTATTCTTCTCCTTTGCTATGTCTTTCATACCCTGAAAATAATCGTAAAAATTGCATCTTTTCTTTATGTAAATTCTGTTATACTAATTAGTAAAATAAGAATATACCTTAAGTATCTTGGCTTGATCTTGATCAGCCTCTTCCTGATCTCTCCTTCTTCTCAACCTCATTTTACGTGCGATTGGATCTTTATCTAGAATCGAAAACGTACAAAATCGTGAAACAAAACGCATGATAGATTGGTTCATTTTATTTTATCAATTGAATCGTGTATTTGATGGCCATAATACATACTAGCAGCTTGAACCGGAACTGGTACATTAGCACCAGCAAGACGCAACTGATGTTGCAACGAAAAGTCGATATTATAAAATTCGATACCCGATCCCCTTTGAACTTCTGTCGGTTTTGGTGGCATCACTAAATTTGGATTGTCTCGCAAATCCAATTGTTCTAAATCGGTAAGAAGATGAATGGCATCTGGTACAGTGATCAATCGATTCGACGTTAATATTAATTGCTTTAATGCACCACATCTAAAAAAAATATATTTCTTTTTATAATATTCTGTTAAAGAAGATCTCTATTCCTTCTACAGTAAAATAACAAAAATAACAAAAAATAACAAAAGTAAAAAAAATAAGATTCTCACCTGCACAGCCCTTCTGGTATCATTTCTAAATGATTGTTAGCAGCAGAGAATACTTGCAGAGATGATAATTTTCCTATTCCAGAAGGTATACCCTCAAAATCTAATTCATTATCATTTAAATATAATCTTTTTAATGTGGAAATCTTGCATAGAGAAGCTGGTATTGCACTTAATTTGTTTCGTGATACATTCAGAGTTTCCAATTTCATCCAAAGTTCTAAAAGATATATAAATCTTATTATTTTATTCATTTGGGTAAGATCATTACATACATATATAAGGTCTTATCCATACATGGATAAAACCATTACAAAGCAATCTACTCACCGATTGCTGTTGATAGTTCCATTATCTGATTATCACTGAGATTTAAACGACGTAAATTCGATAAGGAGTAAAGTGCATCGGGCACACGGGGTAAATTATTTTGCGACAAATCTAGTTCTTGCAAATTGGTTAAGGTTTCTAGACTAGAAGGTATATTACTCAATGTTCGTTGTGTATTTCGCATTTGTAATGTTGTTAAATTCATCAATGATGGCAGTTGTCTGAAATAATTTAAAATAAATAATTCTTACTGAAGGAAATATTTTCTAAAGATTGATATAGGCAACATTATTCCTACCTTAATTGAAAATGACCCAAAGGATTATGATTCAGATTTAAAGTCTGTAGATTAGCCAAACGTCGAGTCTGTGGTGGCACTGTTTCTAGTTTATTGTGGCTAAGATCTAAGAACAATAAGTCTGTCAAGTGAATAAACAATGTATTTGGTATGGTCTCGATACTGAAAGAATAAAAATAATATCAGGATTCTCTCAATCTTCCTACAGCCACAAATATTATAATATATATTATATGTATTTAGTTGTTGATACACATACTGATTATGGCTTAAGTTAAGATTGAGCAAAGAACGTGCTCTTTCTAGGCCTTCAGGTACCTCCTTCAAATTATTATGACTTAAATCTAATGTTGTCAATTCTTCTAAGTGAAATAATTCTGCTGGAATACCACTAGATTTTACATTATTATGCCTTATGTTCAACGTCCTGAGACATCCCAATTCTGTCAATTCTCCATACAAGCGTTCCAACTTATTTTTGACAAGTGACAGATGTTCCTGACAGATGATTAAATCATTGTATTAAAAATGCTTCTAGCCAAATAAATAATACTGATATATATAAATTGTCTTTAATAAATTCATGTGAGAAATAATTATATATATTTTTAATACAATAATAATAATAGTGATATATTAAAATATACTACTATTATTATTTTACTGATACTACTTTGTAAATGCTGCTTTACCAATTTCAACAATTTTCCCATCTCCTCTGGAATCTCTGTCAAATTTGTTTTGTCTAATTTCAACCATTGTATTCCAGTCATAAGACGCATGGATTCAGGAAATTTGCCATCCTAAAAATATTAAAATGAGTTTTATTATAACTGGCTGCTATTCATAAAATTAGTCCTAAGCTTTGTCATGACCAAACATTGACAGATAAAAAATAGCTTGTCATTCAGTTATTAAAAATGTTTTTTTTTTCATATTGAGGTAACGATGTATCACAATTTACTTGTATATAAAGAATATTTCTACTATTAAATCAACAAAGTTACAAATGAGTATATAAAAATTAATAAAAAAAAATAAGAGAGAAAAAGATTAAAACAAGATTAAAGATAAGTTTGACTGGATATTTTAATCTCTCTTTGAGGTTAATACCCGTTAAATCCCCCGCGTACTCACGCCGAAGTCGTTGCTGCTGAAGTCCACGCCTCGCACGAACGGCAACACCCCGGTGTTCGCCATCGCGCCGGGTGGTTATTGCACGATGACCACGTCGACAACGACGTGCGTGCTCCAAGATATGAAATACTCGGTATTCTGCTAAGTATCTGTATCGCTATGAGCCGCGTCCATTCGATCAGAATGTCTGTCGTGCCATGTGGGCGCGCGATAACCGCCGATCTCTCTCGCTTCGCTTCAACTGTCGCACCTGAGTCCTGGGTCCTGGGTCCAGCGTCCAGCGTCCCGTCCAGTCGCCGAATCGGGCGCGCATCACGACGAAAGAACGATGATTGGATATCCAGAGGTGGACATCATCCGTCGATGCACGGTCGCGAGTGATGGTGCTCTATTTATCTTTTTTAATTGCTATTGAAATATAAAACATCTAATTAATACACCTACTATAAATTATCATTTTACTGAAGTAAATTTAATAAATTTATTACACATTGCTTTGTGTTATATCTTATAAGTTACTCATTTTAACGCTAAATGAAAAGAAAAAAAGTATCAATTGATTCCCATCTTATATTTTTGCCAGATGGATATAATTCTGTTGTAAAAATAGATTAAAAAGCATATAATATATATCAATAAATAAAAGAATAAAAAAATGTAATTAATATGAATATAAATTATCTTTAATTAGCAAATCATATATAAAAATAAGTTGTGTATATAATCGCTTTATGTAAATTCGCTTTTCTCACGCGGAAGTGAAAAAAAAATCTTGTCACACGTGTATATCCGTATCTTTATCAAGTATCTTTATCAGTCATATCGCTCTACATAAGTGTTCTCAAAAAATGACATATATGAAATTAAATAAATCACTTATATGAATTTTTCCTATTTTCCGCGTAATTCTCACCATTTGTCGCGGCGCGCGAGATAAATTTGACGTGCGCAAAGGGAATGGTAGACATGGGCTAATGCGGATAGAGTCCTTAGAAGGGACTCTAATTGTAAGTGTGAAGAACTTTGCCCGTGGGTACAAATTATCAGCTTTCGCTCCTTTGCTCCGCGGCGTTAGCTTTGTATTGCGCGCGTGAATTCGAAACTTGAATCGCGTTGTACTTTTGACGTTGTACCGGCTTGGATCGCGCGCGCACGCGCGCGGGCGAGAGGGAGAGAGAGAGAGAGAGAGAGAGAGAGAGAGAGAGCGTGCACCGCAGCACTGCTCTAGATCGTGAACGTGCTACTCGACGCCGTGTGCGGGATCCTCGGTCACATTATTCTTGAAAACAAATCTGGCGAGCGAGACACGTTCACGCTCACCCCCGTGTATATATGGCTTCAATTGAGGAGCTGGAACATCAGGTCGACAGCGGCATGGGCAGCAGCGACGTGCGCTCTCCTGAGGTGAAGTCGCTCCTCCCCGATGAAGAGGACGACGACGAGGAGGTATAGGCAATAGTGTGCTCTTGTATGAGGGGAAAAGAAAGATGATAACGTATGATAATCGTATATCGAGACGTGATTTATGCGTGTTTTGTCTTAATATTTGTAAAATGCAGGATGTAAAAGATAGTAGGATATATCTTTGGAATTACATGTATAATTCCGTATTATTAAGATATGTGGTATTAAAGATTAACGTGCAAGATATTATTTAATAATGAAAGAAAAGCTCAGCTTTTCTCGTTATTATGTATATAAGAATGCATAATGTATGTATACATTATGCATCCTTATGGTTTCTTTCAAAATTCAAGTTTATGAGACATTTATAGGTGTACAATTATCTTATGAGTATAGCATCTTTTTAGTATTCTTAATAACAGTGAGGCAATAACTACTTTTAAGATTGAGTTAATTGATGAAATATTTTCCATATTTTTCCTAAGGATGAAAGCTTAACGGAAAGATTATTAGGACTTACTGAAATGTTTCCTGAACCAGTACGCAATTTTGGATATAATGTTGGGACTTGTCTATATACATGTATTAAAGGTAACATTACTTTCTTCCAAGATATACATATTTTTTTAAATATATGATAAAATTAGAAATATATGTATAAAATGAGGATAAATTTCATGTATGTTTGTGTAAATATATTTTCACAGGTCTATATGCATATTCGTGTTCCACCACATGGCTGGTCTTCAGTTCGTCCACCATTCTCTTTGCGCCAATTATATTTGAGATGGAACGTGCACAAATGGAAGACCTGCAACGTACGCAACAAAAACAAGTTCTCTTAGGCCCTAACACTGCTTTGTCTGGTGTCAACACCTCGGGTCTTCCAATGGCACCGCCTGTTCAGCGATAAACTATCATATGTTCACACACACACATATACACGTGTTCAAAGTTCACGTGTAAAAATATCCAAATCATGGAGGAAATGTATTAATTGAGTCTCATGCTCAATTATTTATTAGTATAACTTGTTCACACATGAGATTTGACACAAAATCGTGAATGTAACGAACGAGGATTCGCATAAATGAAGCGTAAAAAATCATGTGTACTTATTCTCAACCAGAATAATTCTTACAAAATACACGAGGTAAAATAATATAAATTTGGATCACTCCATATAATAAATTTATAAATTAACGCAGCATGTATCTCTCGGTCTATAGTCCATCCTCTATCTCTATATTCACACATATACAAATCATCGTTCCTCATAATTTTTACTAAGAAACAATGTACTGTGGTGTCATATGGCATTTTATTATTAGTGCGATAAAATGTTGCAGAAGCAACAGTAGTATCTCGTTTGATTAAAAAGGGGCAACGGCGGTATTTTATTCATTGTGAATGAATAATTGAGAGAAATTTGGAGAAATTGAAAAAGCAATTATTTATACATAATAATAGTTACTACACAATCTGTGTTGCTGGATATCGCGGTGGTTATTTTTAATATATCTCGCCTGTTATATATTGTAATTCATTGTAATTTCGAGAAAAGAAATAAAAGACATAGCGAAATAGTCTTTAATATTGTTCGATTTATCGTCGTATTGTTTGACTTTTTGCATTATGTAAAATGCCAAATAATAAATGCAATGACAGCTCTATATAACATATGTTCCGTTAATTCTAGTAACTTATATTTGATAAATATTAAAAGTTGTCGATAAAAGTATCGAAAGATATTTAATATAGCTCTATAAAAAAATCATGTGAAATAATATATTGCAAAATCTTATTTTGTATATTGTAAAGAATATTTTTTTAATATAATTAAATTTATCAAATAGTGTTATTGTATATTATATTATTATCCAGGATATATATTTTAATACTAAAGTACATGATATTTCAAAAATGATAGATTAAAATTCGTTCAAGATGGTTAAGAAAATTTTGTAATAAATTGTAACTCTCGCCATGATATGTATAAATATGTATAATTTTTTTTCATAGCGTATGTGAAACATGTATACACACACATGAACACGTGGGTCAAGCTACCCCTAGTCCCTAGTAGATTTTAGGTTAGGAAATTGGAGTGGATTTTTTTTAGAGCAAAGATCAGCAAAGATGAATCAACCCAACCTCGAGAAATTAGTAAATAAATTGAGATACAATGTCAAGCCACGTCGGAAATTGCGTCAGCCCCAAGGTTCGGAGGGACGTCTTTTAAAACTCCGAAAAACTCTGACGGCATTAATTAAATACGAACGACTCGAGTTGAATTATCCGAGAGGCGACGAAACCAGAGGTTATGTAGATCAAGTACGTTCATTGTTCTCCAATTATTAGTTATTTCAACGTTATTCTCCAAAAAACACAATAATTTATTATTACGACATAAATATGTATAAAAATGCATTTTTTTTCAATTTAGTTTTAGAGAGATATTATTATATTGATAATTCAGGGAATTTTGCAATCTGCATTTAATAATATAGCTAGCATTTTGTATATCCAGTAGCGGAATTTTCATAACGGTATCGTTTTACAGTTGATATTTGAAGCGATACGCCATGGACCTATGCACAAGGAGACAATGGACATGGCAAATTTCTGGATAACCGAGAAACAACTGGTGCACAAACTGTTCAAAGTTCTTGTACCGAGGTATCAAAATTATACCACATCGTTTACAAAACTTCATAAGGCGCCGAATATTTATCCTATAGGCCACTATGAAAGGGCAATTTTAGAACTCAAAGGTAGATTTTACAAAAAAATTCTTTACCATGTTACGTGAAAGATTCATTTACTTATATAATTCATTATTCAGGTAATATATACCCAACCGTAGAGCAATATAACCCACATGAACGAAATTTACTTCACAATTTACTGCTTGATGCAGCAAAGAAAGAATACAGAATGGAAAAGTATAAGGAAATTGCAGATAATATAAAGCAATAGAAGCAGGAGACAGAGGCTTTAAAGAATGCTCTTGTACAGTAGGTTAATGATTTAAGACTTTATTATTAAAATAAATGTATAAAATAACATCATTTTTGTATAAGATAAATTTTCTCCTTTTACTTTTTATGCGCAAAAGAATTTAATGGATAATGTTCTTTGAATTCTTCTAGATGTTTTTCCATTAGATTCATTTGTTTTCTGAAATATACCAAATATTGAAAGTGATACCAACTTTAATTAATATATTTATATGATTAACATGTCTATATATGCTAATATACCTGATATGATCAGGAATTTCCTTGTAAACATCTGTAAATAATCCCTTCCAATATGGCTTGGATTTTTTTTCTGCTTCTGTAAAAACACGAAGGATTTTTTTCTTAGTGGAATTTATTAATTCTTGCTCCTTTTCTTGACACCATAATCCAAGCGACTCTAGATAAAAACGAAACTTGACAAGTGGCGTCTGGATATTCCATTGAGCGATCTCGTCGGTCGATCGATAAGCCATAGAATCATCCGATGTGCTGTGATGTCCGAGTCTAGAAGATTTATTATAACGTGCAATTTATTAATCATACAAAAGTTTTATTTTGCAAAAAATATTCCTTTCTAGCAAATGATAAGAGTACAAAGGATAAGAGAGACTGCAAACTTTTATATAAAATTAGAATTAAGAAGATATATATATATATTTATTTATTTTCTCTCTCACCTATAAGTCATGGCTTCTATTAAAACGGGTTTCTGTTGTTTTATGCAGAAGTCTCGAGCACTTTTTGTGGCATAATACATGGCGAGAACGTCGTTACCATCTACTCTAATTGTGTCAATTCCGTATGATGGGCCTTTAGCCGCGATACCATCTCCCTTAAATTGTTCGAAGACTGGTGTGGAAATGGCATATCCGTTATTCCGACTGGTTAAAATATTCTTATTTTATTATGCATACATTTTATAAAATAAGATTAAATCATTAAAAAGTTACCAGATGAAGATGATGGGACATGATAAAGTAGCTGCAAAATTGAATGCCGCATGGGCGTCGCCTTCGCTCGCCGCACCGTCGCCAAAGTAACAAGCCACACATGCGTTCCTTTTATCCAATTTAAAGGCATAGGCAGCTCCAGCAGCTGTGGGAATAAAAATTTCTGTGTTAGATTATCTCGTAAAGCAGCGTTATCAGTGCTACTTTGTAAATTTATTAATGTTACTAAAACATATGCTATATACACCCCCTTTTAAATTGTAAAATAACAATTCAGTTGAATTTCATTTACAGTTTTTATTTTAGATAAAATTTATAACAACAATATAGATAATATATAATATATATATGTATATATAATTAAATATATGATTACCTTGTGGTAGTTGGGTTGCCAATGGAGATGATATAGTCATGAAATTGAACTCTTTGGAACCATAATGCACTGGCATTTGCTTGCCTTTGCCCTCATCCTCGCAGTTGCCGTAACATTGATTCATAAACTTCAGCAATGGATATCCACGGTGCAACAAGACACCTGTTACATTATATGCAATAACTTGAATGTGTATATATAACAAGTGGATAACACATAGTGCAAGTTCTTACCAGCTTCACGGTATTGTGCGTAAATCATATCTTCTAGAGTCAAAGCAGCAGCAGAACCAATCTGCACAGCCTCTTCACCAGTGTTTGTCATATAAAATGAGATGCGACCTTGTCTTTGCGATTCGTATAGAATCTTATCCATCATGCTTATGATCATCATATCGCAGTACATTTTCATCAGATTTGTCTCGTTTAACTGTAAGAATATAATATCCAGTTTTATATTTTGACACAATATATCTATATTAATCTCAAATTATGTTTGTATGTGTGGTCACTATATACACTTGCTAAACTTAACATTAGATCTAGTGATTCTATAATACACATTTCACATTTTTTTTTAAATAATATATATTACAAAATAATATATGTATAAATATGAAATAAAGCAACATATTTAGCATTAATTGTGCATCTATATATCTGTAAATTTATAATATATTTTTAATTTATATCTATAATGTATATCATTAATTTATATCTTTGATGATCAAACCTTTTCATCTTTGGGTAATTCAGCCTTCTGTGTAGGTTCCAAAATCCTGTATATTGGAATAGATTCATAACTTTCTTTATTGACAAACTGAATATTATTGGTAAAAGCATTGTTGATTCCTAGAAATTGCGGTTCATTTGTCGTAGTGCTATATTGTTTTACCTAAATTAATCATAGAATTTCAATAAAGAAAAACGAATTAGATGTTTATTATAATATTTTAAAAGATTAGAGAGATATTTATTCATATACAACTTTATGTTATTTATACTAAATCATTAAAAAATATAGATATGTAATTAAATTACTAAAACGAATTAAAAGAATATAAATTTTCACTAACTCTCAAATACTATTTTAGAGTAATAAAAAAATAATTATAAAATAATATGATCAAAATATTATAGAATGAGCACAATATTTGATATGGAATGTCCGTTATAAGCATATATATTATGTGTTAATTACACTTTAATAAAAACTTGTTATTACAATAACGAATAAATAAGAGATTTTCTTTATTTATGTTATATATATGATACCTGCAATATAGCGTATTGAAAGCGCGAAATTCCCCGGAATAAATTCTTTGCAATCATTTCGTGTCACACATTTGATCTTTGATCTCCTCTGTAACTATTTGATGTGTACATTTAGGCCGATAAGGTACTGATAATGCACTGTAACGCACATGCACACGCGCGACATCATGGGAGGAAGCGTTAAACATAAACACGTGTTATTTGTTAAATACGTGTTATTAACATTAAGTATAAATGCGACAAGAGAATTAAATCTAATTTGTGAGAGAAATTGAGAATTTGTAATAACGAATGGATGCAATTACGATGCATCTCTACGAAATGCTTGGTGTGGAGCATCAAAAGCTACACTTGCAGAGGTAATTTGCATTTATTTAAAAATATTTATATAAATGTTTTATAGATTTATAGAGTGAAATAAAATCATCGACATATAAAATGGACTGCTCGTTACAGGCACACAGAGAGAAAAAAGGAGGGGAGACAAGTGCGACCGTTGCGATGGTCATCGATCGATTCAGAAATCGATTCACAAATATTTATCTATCGATAATTAGATTGACCGCTAAATCTCATGACTGAGAAAACGCAACACTAATATAGTAATTTTATAAAATGGTTATATGCATGCGTTTAAGAAGAACGGTTTCCTTTGAATACTAAACTTAAAAGAGGCTGCTGTAATTAGTGATGGATACAATTCACATGCAAATCACTATATCGCCGTTGTTGTGGACGATCACGCTACTACTGAGTGAAAGAAAATAGTTTAAAGAGGATGTAGTAGACATAAGATATTCTTTTTATCGGAATCTGACAAAATTTTATTTAAATTTTATTAAATTTTTAAATAATAACAAACCACACACAAACAAAAGAGAGTCTGGGAATTTGTCAACAATTACACATAATTGGTAGAACATTGCAGTGCAAAGAGAGAGGAATAGAGAGAGAGAGAGGGAGAGATTTCGCATTCTTAATTTTACATACAGAAAATATGACATACCTTAATTATTTTCTAAAATTTTTATTCCATTATGAAATTAAATAAATATTATTATTAATGCTATTGTCATCATAAAGAGTATAGCTAATTTTTTTTCAATTAAATACATTTGTTTGATCTGATATTAATTAAATATCATTAACGCGAAGTTAGCATTTCGTATGCATTGACTGCATTGACATAATAAAAAGGATAGTATAGTTCTGAAATTTATAGTTGCGAAATATGGCGATCGCGTGCGCGCGGGCGGACGGCGGCGTACGATTTTTCTCTTTTTTTGTTAGTTTTTATCCTGGAAATTGCAGTAGTATAACCAGATATGTAGTCAACAGAGCGGCGGTCTGAAAATAATATCGATAAAATCATAACTTTTCAATATTCCAATAAAGTACGAGAAAGATATTTAATATACAATATTTACATAATTCCCTGAATAAACAACAGAATAATAAAATTTATTAAATGTATAAATTATAATATTATTATGATAGCGTTATTTGTTAAAATTAATTAATATTAATTAATGTAAAAGTTATTATATATGATTGTGTTGCATATTTTCTCAAATTTTTTATTTGCTAAAATAAAAAAAGATATTCAATATACAATATTTATATAATTCCATAAATAAACAAGATAATAATAAAATTTATTAAGTTTGTACATATAAATTATATTACTATGACATTATTTGTTAAAATTAATTTATATTAATTAATATAAAAGTTATTATATATGATTGTGTTGTATATTTTCTGAAGTTTTTTATTTGCTAAAATAAAAAATAAAATAAAATAAAATAAAAATATAAAATAAAAAATAGGAAAAATGCAAAGTATAAAATAGAAAAATGTAATTGTTGAGTTTATGTTAGGCATTGCAGTGAAATATATAAAATCTTCATAAACACATTTTTAAATGATGATTTAAATATAGAATACTATTAAATCTAAGATAATTTTAGTAGAAGACAGTTGCGGAGCTTCGCGTTAAACTATTGTGAAAAAATTTAGAGAGTCCAGATATCATCGGAATTGTGTACTTGTACAATTGTATTACACGTGTGTCGTAACAATTTGCCCAAGTACCAGAGTACCCATCATTCCCAGAGGTAGAATCGTACCATTTTGAATATACACGAATTTCGAACGATTTGCGGAATCAAGATGCAAAATCGAAGGCGCGTTTCGAATACGGTACGATTTACGAGCGTGTTTATACTAATATTTATGGCGCTTCGAATCCCACTGGGATATTGAAGCCAATTAATCTTTACCTTCGTCATATCGTGCCTGGAGTTGAACGCGATTGATGTTAGTTTGACAGAAAAACGGTCACCTAATCGTGACGATCGTTAATGACATGAGTTACTTTTATTATTTTGCAACAAAAATCGATCGCACGAGTATTTATATGAATGATTAATAATTTTTTGATTGCGAGAGTAATATAAACATTTAGTATTTATCACATTTAATTGACATCGAAAAATATTTCAAGCATCTTTCTTTTTTCAAAAATGGTCAGCATGTTTTAATAAAATTGTTTGCGCGGCTAGATATTTTATAAAATATCTATTATTGTTTATGTATGCATGATATTGTAAATAAATGATTTATTTTTGATTTACATTTTGATATAAATTTCTCATAACATTTATTTTTATTTTATATTTTGATATAACTTTTACCTTCATTGCTATGCTTGCTATTTATGTGTTTAAGCGTTAATATATTATGTTTAAAATAAACGTTGTGTTTAAAATGTTTTCGTTTTATTAACCTCGATCGATCTGTTTACGTGTCGAGAATACGTGATTGCATGTTTTTCTTTAAATCGTACCGCTGTGTTGTGATAACATCGCGATGAGAAACGTGTTCTCCGTGTAATCATCTGTATAATTCAGCAGCTTTGTAGTTTTGATGCGATCATTTATGTTGACTTGTAATATCTTGACGAGATTGTCTTAATTTCATAAGATGTTTATCATTATTAATCATTTTAATCTTTCAATGTACGTATATGTGAGCATATAACGCTACTCATTCGGCATGTAACTTTTAGCTAAATCGAAATTTGAGTAATCAATTATAGGATTAATTATTAGGTATTCCTAATTATCTGAAGCAGAAACAGAATATTCTCCCTACATAATCAACAAGGTGCAAGAGAAATTTTGCAATAACTGCAAGCATTTAATTAACGGGAAAGATAAACATAATTATAAAAGAATTTATATATATATACACTTATAAATTTCTATGCTAACATAATAAAAAAAAATATAAAAAGCTAAAAATAAAAAAATTTATCTTTAGTTTATTAATATAATATATACGTATATGTACATAACGTACATAAACATATATATTCATATACATACACAGACACATAAACATTGAAAAATTAAAATTAAAATTTCTTTACCAAATTAACTTTATTTAAAAAAAGTTGTGATAAATTTATTCTGGATATATTTAATCGTATTTTTTATAATGTAAATTGTCGTAGCATCCGTTATACTCCGCATGTTGCAACACGGATTTAACATAGATGCATTTTGGCTAGGTATCCGTACATATTTATATGAAAAGTAAGTATATGAAAAGTAAATATAATAATATAATATAATTATACATACTCTCTTAAAATAACACATAAAAAAGATAATAATTGAATGTTTTATAAAATGTTTCTTTCACTTTGCTTTTCTACTCTCATTTTTGCTTTATTTTTCGATCTTTTATTTTCAAGCTCTTTTTTTTAGCTTTTATTCTTCGGTTTCTATTTTTTTTTTATTTTGTCTTCTGTAAAAACTCTTTTCCGGAATCATTTTTGTTTTTAATTGCTATTTTTATTAAAAGTTAGATTTTTGACGTTTATTTTTTATTTATATTTATTTTTTTTACTTTTATTTTTACTTTGCCTCGCTCGATCTTTGCTTTATTGTTTTTTTATGCCTTTTTTCAGTATCTCACATAATCAACAAGGTGCAAGAGAAATTTTGCAATAACTGCAAGCATTTAATTAACGGGAAAGATAAACATAATTATAAAAGAATTTATATATATATAGCTTGAAAGACATATTTATATCTAATTAAGAACTTTGACATTTTTCACAAAACCCTCCTTACTTACAGAACGTAATAACGGCAAGTTTACGTAAAAGCATCCGCCAGCGGAAAAGTTGAGTCTTCGATTTAGGAATTGCAACAATGATTCCCCGTAATCCTGCATTCAGAGAGGAGTTTTTACACAGATTGCAATCGTATTAAAATCGTTGTTGTATAAATATAACAGAAACATAGTATTAAGAGACAACAAAAACAAATTTTAAGAAAATTAATAAAATTTTAATTGGAGGAAAGTTATTTATATTAAATGCAGTAAATGATTGGATGTGATTTCCATTAAAAGAAACCAGAAAGACAAGTATTTGAAATAATAAAACGGCATTATCTACTTACATCATTTCTTTTCATCAATCTCACTTGCCACTCGATAAGAATCGCACTTATACAATTAGCCTGGAATGCAGATCATGTTTTTTAAAATTTTCTAGTAAATAATGTTTTATTTATTATATCAAATATTGATATTTTATTATTTATATATATTATGTCTGTAAAGGTGCATTAATCTATACATATATCTCTGGCATAAATTTATACGACTAAAATTTATGTGAACTGATTATAAATTCTCAGCGTTGCTATCTGGACACCGTTTATCACGAAGGACGCGATTTAAATTTAAATATTTTCTACTTTGCATCAGTAAGATGGTCTTACTTGAAAGGAAGCATAGTGGCAGGTAATGTGAAGTAACAGAATCTGGAAGAGAAACGCTAACAACCAGGCGGTCAAGCAGTATACCAGCGACCACGTTACTGCTTGCCACGGCTTTTGGAGTGTCCACACTATTATAAAAAATATATTGCTGACAGTATGTAGCCCAAGACTGCCGAGCCAGAAAAGTAGTGACCACGAGTACATCGATTCCAAGTTCTCTGCGGCGATCATCAGATCATTGTGCAGATTCAGAATTGTCTTTTGCAAACACAAATAGAAAACATTATAAGTCATAGTTATTAATTCTTACCTCCGATATAAAAATTCACATTGTTTAAAAAACAAATAAAAACGAATATTATATATGTATACATATAATTCTATATAACTTTTATATTATTTGTTTTTATATTTTTATATTTCATGTTGTATTATTTATATTATTATATTATTTAACTCTTAAACGCGAGAGAGATGATTAAAGACAAACATTTAAAAATTATGATTCGAACCCTTTTGCTAATTGTGATAATACTCTTATTTCCCGATGTAGACGGTAGATTTTTTATCGCCATCGCGTTGAGATGATGAAACCGTTGGCCTAGAAAGAAAGCCATTGCCACAAATTTATAGACAGCTATTGAGCTCCCGACGTAGATAATCAAGTATGCCGTATTGTAAATCCATGTCTCGTAGAAGGCATGCATCCCGATACGGTTAACGGCAATCCAGATGACCGTGGTAGTAACACTGACAATCCACGCGGCGATCGCGGTCTGCGTCTCTTTGCGGGGATAACCGAGTTGTCTGACATCCTCGTCGTAATCTTGCAGCGCGTTCCACGTTTTGGTGAAGCTGCGTCTCGTGAATGCCGCCAAGCCCAATTGGTATATCGTCACGCTATAGTTGATGACCACCTGAACAATTACTTTTGATTATTGCTACGAGTTCTCGATAATTTTGAGATTTAAAATTTAGCTACTTAATTACACCTGTGTTCAAGAAATCAGCCAAAATAGATCTAATATGAAAAGTACATTCAAGAATTTACTTTTGGCTATTCCCATCGCAAGGAATTTCTTTCTCGTTTTACGAACAATTTTTCACTGACCTTCGCGTTTTCTGTTCCTCCGAGAAGTGCATTGTCATCTCTTTCGGCAGCGAAAGATCTTCGGACCACCGTATAAAATATATACGTGTAGAGCGTGGCTGCGGTCACCGAAAAGATTAGATAGATGTTTGACGGCACTAGACGATCTTGCGAGAAATCGTAAGGAGCGAGACCGAACACTCGCATGACGTAGACCATCGGCCAGATAGCCATGTAAAAAGGTGAATCTGGACCGCGCAGCTTCTTTGCCTGTTTTTTCTTTGCCTGTACGAATACGGTCTCCACATCGAAAGGACGAGCTTGAAATTCCATATTCAGGTGAAATGGAATCGACTGATTCTTTGTCGGATTAATTAGATCTGGCGAGTTTCAATTTCCATTAATGAGGGACGTAGAATTTGCACCTGTCTATAATAATTATCAATTAACACGCGCAATCATTTACATTTGAAAAGTCTAGATGCAAAAGAAACAAAAAGCATCCTGTAAAATCAATTGCTTCGAATGAATTTACTTCAAATTACTTAATCATTAGAAGCGTTATTAGTATTAGTAGTATCATGATAATACTATCAGTGACTGACGTAAATCTATAGTAATAATGCGCGAACACATAAATATGTTGGAAAAATTTCAAACAGGGATTTTTGGAAGACTCGATTGAGAAATGGAATTTTATATGTTAATTATAAATTTTGAAAACATAAAACGAATTAAAAGAGTATAAGATTCGAAATTTTTTGTTAATTAAAAAATGCTTCGTTCTTCTTCATCGCGCCAATTTTTCTGTATTGTTGTTTTTTTTTCTTCGCATATACCAATTTATACTAAAGTTAATAATTTATGAGAGAGAGCCAATTATATCGAACGAGGCGCGAAAGCAAAAACTGTAATTGTAGAAAAGTCGATAATGTAGCTTCCAATCAGATTCACGTTAATAATAATAAATATTGGATCAACGAAGTCCAGAAAAGTCTGCCAGTTTTTGCTTGATGTCTCGGAAATCACCACGTTCATCGATCAATTGCATTGTCCTAGAAAACGTATCGTCAAAAGACAACATGAAGCTATGATAAATAAAATTGGAAATGAAGTACAAAGAAAACACAAAGTGTATAGCATATGAAGAATTATGGAGGAATAGAATCATGTGAGGCGTAGCAGAAATAAAGAATGAATGCGTTTACTTTTTATTTTTTCACATAAAAAGCGTTGGCTCGAGCACAATAACATCAACTAATATTACTATTACTATTACATTTTTAATATAAAGTATATTTCATATACTTTGTAATTGCGCTGAAGATGGTCTAAAAAAAAAGGACCGAAACGTACGCTTTTTGCGATTATGTTTATCACTTAGTTAAAATATCAATGTAATTTGATTATAATAAAAACACAAATAAAAACGCACAAATTACCGCGCTGGCTCTTGTGTGATTGCCTTTTGTCTCCTTCATATGATATATTCATAAGAACCTTTATTAATTTATTTTCAATTAGTATTACGTTTGAAAATTCTGAAGACTTCTCGTTTGGTATTTCGAGAGTTAGACGAATTTCAACGTAGCTCTAGGATCATTTCGGAGCTGTCATAAAGCTCAAACTTTTTCCGCCAGTTTTTTATGTCAATTGTCCGTCGACAAAAATGTTATAAATCTCAGAAATATAAAAGAGATAGAGAAATAAAAAGAGTTATATAATTTCAAAGATAATAAATACCGCACTGAATTCAGCAAATGCAGGACTAAAGGAGAGCTGTATTTCAGTAAGAATATAAAATTTTTTATTACTTATTATTATTTATTATTTATTAAGATTTATCTTTTTATATACTATTTATAGCAAAATGTGATCACGTCGCGCATTGCAATGAATCTCTATCAAACATTATCGTGAATGTTTTAGCGAGACTCAATGTATACTTACATTACGGACAAATCGAACTCTCGAAGCACAGCGTCTCTCCTGGACGACGTCGCGGGAACTAGAGCAAGGATTCAATATGTTATGCACCTTTGTCGCGCGTGATAAAGCGAGATTAGAACCGCCCGCGTAAATATATCCTCCCGTGGACACACAAACGTACGTTCGTATGTATGTGCCGGGTGCGACGTATGGCATGCGCAAAGATACCGCCGTTAAATATTATTTCATGTCAGTCTCGGATGAATAATTGAACGGTGAAGAAGAATAACAGGAAACAATCGAAGTACATCCTTTAGATAGTTACAATCGTATCGTATGGAAAATCGTCTGTTTGCATTCATGACCACTCTGGTTAATTCTATTGTGCAAAATAATATATTTCATTGTCCTCCGATTTTTATAAAACTTAAAACGGAGAAACTTAAAAATATTTTTTATTATTATTTAATTTTAGACTTTTATATTTATGTAACATAATTTATTTTTTAATGATATATATACATATATTTTTTTTTTTGTTTCTCTATACACGAATTTTAATAGCGTATAATTTTAATAGAGTTCTATATATGTATATTGCTTTATAGTATAAAGTAATAATGGCAATAATATTGAAATTACAACGCGGGACAAAATAATAAATATCTTTAAAATAGGATAATTTATATGCTCTTGTATGTAAAATAATTCAAAAATTTGTTACACACACATATACCTACATACTATGTATATATTCATAAAATTTATATTATTTAAAAAAATAACATATTTCTCGCAATTGTATATTTTTGTATGATAATTAATTTTGGTTTGTGATAACAATGAGTTAATTGCAACGATCTACGTTAATTCTTACAAAGGAAACATCTTAATAAGCACACCGTTTCATTATACGAGTAAGTCATTATAACATTAGAATATATATATATCTCTTTTTTAAAATGCAACATGTGTGTAAAACATAATTGAAATGATATCAAAGTACAAGCATAACGGGCATAGTTTTATTTCCTCAACATCCTTTTTTCAAAATCATTTCTCATCATTAATATCATTAATGTAATGATCTCAATCTATTTTAATATAGACGATTTCCAATATGTATCATACAATATCATGTAGAAATTATTTTAAACTCAGAAATTTTTAATCTCGAACAAAGAGATTTTTATCTATAAAGTTTAAATATTACATATGTATTTTATACATATTAAGTGTTGTACATTGTGTTATATATGTATATACATATAAAAATATTTAATAATGTCTATATATTTTGTTTTACACGTTTCGTGCGTGTAATAAATATATATGATCAAAAGCTTTTCTAAGATTAGGTCAAGCTAAATATAAGTGTATAATAACAAATAAAGAATGAATTCTAATTTTTCTCGTTAAAAAAGATGTATATACTGTGACGTTGCCGTCTCGCGCGCGTCCGCCGAGCCGCCGAGTCCCTTTCCGATCGAAAAGCGCGGACTAAAGGGCCGCGCCCAGTCGAATAATTGCGAGAACCGTACCGTTACCTCCAGAGAGGCGTCATTAATCGAGATTTCGTGCTTAATATTTAAAAAAAGTTGTGATAAATTTATTCTGGATATATTTAATCGTATTTTTTATAATGTAAATTGTCGTAGCATCCGTTATACTCCGCATGTTGCAACACGGATTTAACATAGATGCATTTTGGCTAGGTATCCGTACATATTTATATGAAAAGTAAGTATATGAAAAGTAAATATAATAATATAATATAATTATACATACTCTCTTAAAATAACACATAAAAAAGATAATAATTGAATGTTTTATAAAATGTTTCTTTCACTTTGCTTTTCTACTCTCATTTTTGCTTTATTTTTCGATCTTTTATTTTCAAGCTCTTTTTTTTAGCTTTTATTCTTCGGTTTCTATTTTTTTTTATTTTGTCTTCTGTAAAAACTCTTTTTCGGAATCCTCACCGGAAGAAAGCACGGGAAGTCAGTAAAACATCACGGAAAATATCATCGTCAATCAAGGATGCCCGCCGAGGGGCCAAGGAGCCAGCAATCCGAGAATTCAAAGCATCTAACGTCTAGCTACGTCACGGCGGGATCAGGACCCGCACACGTGATGCGCAACACACGGAACAGCGAGAGGATCCTCGCGCAAGGACACAGGCCCGTGCGGATCCGGTCCCCGCGGAGGGGTTGCAATCCTGCACCCGATGGCGTGACACGGCCCCCGGAAAAGACGAAAAGAGGGGTGACAGCGATACTTCCGGCCAAGCCGGTCACCTCGAGACGGCCCCGCGGAAAGGGCCCCAGCGAATTATTGTTCGAATTACCGGGGGCGCGCGCACCCCCGTTACAACCGTGAGCGCGCCGCCTGCCGGCCACAGCGCGTGATAACGCGTGATTGGTCGCGATAATACGCACCCCGTGTGCGCAGCCCCGGCTGGCCCACAGGTATCGATTCTGGATCGCGACGATCCGGGAT